GCTCGCATAATTATTGGGAGTAAATTATAAAAGTGTGATGCTGGTTGAGGTCTTGCTTGGCTGAGGTCGTTGATTGCGGTGGCGTACTCAGGATGGATGTTCAAACAACTCGGAAGAATCAATTCTATGGAAACATATAAAAATGAATCAATTCAAAAATAATGGGAAAAGTGATAATGAATTCAAACTTACTTTTAATATCAACTGGACTGCCATAATTTGTAGTCTCTTCATCATCTGGTTGATTATCAACCAATTCCTTCTCATGATCTTGTTGATCATCAACCAATTCCTCCTCATCATCTTGTGGATCATCAACCGATTCCTCCCTGAGATTCCTTGGACGTTTACCCGATGCTTGCTGAGTATGATCTTCGCTAGTATCTTTGGCGCGTCGTTTCTTACGGGAAATAAGTTGCTTGTTGGACAACATATTTTCTGATCGAAATGTCGATGTTTTCTGGGTCTTGGAATGGATCAATGGGTCAACAACAACGTCCAATGTTTGGCTAGTATTTTCGGCCGCTCCTTTTGATTGTCTAACCCTTGGCGATAGTGATTTTGAAGTATTGGAAGGATTTGATGTGTCATCACCAAGGGGGATTTCATCAACTGGGGGAAATGAGTGATTTTTTTCTGGAAAGAATATCTCAAGAGGATTAACAGTTTGAGGCTCTAGAGAATCAACTGTCGCATGTTTTGATTGGTGAGGCGTGTCATACGGCAGGGGTGAGTTGAAAGGTGTTCTGTCAGGACTGGTTGATATATGCCGCTGTTGAGACCAAGGATGTGGTTCGGTGGGCTGAGGAGATCCAGATAAGTAAGTGAAAGGTGGTAGATCATCCTTTCTTATTTCAGCAGTTGATTGTGGCGTATTTGACTGATTGGAAGCCTCAGCATTGGGAATGCCACCTAGTGGATCTAGAATTGGATTTTGATCTGGCTGGTATTCAAGACACTTGGGTTCTAGTTCTGGGTTCGTGGCGTTCTCAAGGGGAGCCGGTTCATCAGAAGTTGAGTTGGCGGCTGAGAATTTCTTGAGCAGAGATGGTGGATCAAAGGTTGGGTCGGTTACGGGGACATCTTCGCTGGAAGCTGATGTGTCAGAAGTTGAGTCGAGGGAAGCTGGCTCTTCAGACATTGGGTTGGTGGCTGAGAATTCCTTGAGTGGAGCTGGTGGATCAAAAGCCGGGTCGGTGACTAGGACATTTTTGTTGGGAGCTGGTGTGTCAGAATTTGAGCCGATGGGAGCTGGTTCATCAGAAGTTGAGTTGGCGGCTGAGGATTTCTTGAGCAGAGCTGGTGGATCAAAGGTTGGGTCGGTTACGGGGACATGTTCGCTGGAAGCTGATGTGTCAGAAGTTTGGGTGGCAGCTAGGTTTTCTTCTGTCAGAACGTTTTCAAGATGATTTGGTGGTGTCATTTCAGATTCCATCAAGTCCGTTGCTTTGACAGGTAGTGGATCAAGATGACTAGGCTCTTGAGTTTTGCTCGGAGGATCTGACTTGGGTACTTCCACCGCAATGCGTTGACTGAGTTCTAGTGCTGGTACGGAGAGCAGGGTAGGCTGAGAGGATTCAGATTTTGACATGTGGAGGATTAAATTTCTGGGTGCTACAGGACTAAGTGGAGTAAGAACATTCTGAGTGCTGGGTCCTTCAATGGTGTTTGGCTTGGCAAGCGGGGTTGACTGTTCAGTATGATGGAATAATTGTTTGGGGAAACGGCTTTGAGGGAGGTCAAGACTGTCATAGATAAATCGATTTCCTGCTGCCAAAGTCTCCTTCATTATTGCTGATACTCTCTCTAGAAATATGTCCAAACTCTTGATATATTCCTCATGGATTTCGTCTAAGTTTGGTGTTTTCAGAAAAAGTTCGAAATGATCTTGAATCAAGGCCTGCTTTCTGGCAGAGACTGTTGTTATAATTGAATCAGCATAAATTAAGCTGAGAATGATTGAATAAGAAGGGTCACTCACCAACACTATGTATGTATTCCACTTCCTCCAAAGGTCTCCTCCGCGTACGCAAAGTCCAGGTGGTGGTGGCAGGCTGAATATCTGGTGCAGGTGTTTCTGGTTCTGTTCCCAAAGGGACTACTGGGTTCTCCAACATCATTTCGGCTTGGGGCTGTAGGTTTGCAAGCATAGATAGAAAAACAAATCAGAAGTATTCTCTGTGTGAAAGAATGTAGAAACTACTGGGCTTACAGTCTGATTTTTGAATGGGTTATTTTGAAAGGATTTTGACATCTTTATCTCAGTTGAATGGTTCAGAAAATAGTCTAAGAATGGAGAGAGGTGATTGGTCAGTAATGAATTTCATACGGTTAGGATAAGAAAGAACTTACTTTCAAACTATGATTGAATAATTGGCTTTGATGGCTTGAACTTTGAGGAGAAAAACAAAGTTGAAGTTTTTCATGCACCTCAAGGGGCAACCAGGGTCAACCACAACCCCGTCGCAGAGTGGACAGATACAAGCATACCCCCCTCCTGCTGGAAGATGTTATGCTTATATCCATGCACTCTCGTCGGCCGACGGGATTGGAGCAGAAATCTACAAAAAAACACAAGTCCTTTGTCGCCACTCTCGTCGGCCGACGGGATTGGAGCAGAAATTTACAAAAAAAACAAAGCCCTTTGGCCACTCTCGTCGGCCGACGGGATTGGAGCAGAAATCTCCAAAAAAATACAAGTCCTGTGTTGCCACTCTCGTCGGCCGACGGGATTGGAGCAGAAATTTACAAAAAAAACAAAGCCCTTTGGCCACTCTCGTCGGCCGACGGGATTGGAGCAGAAATCTCCAAAAAAGTACAAGTCCTGTGTTGCCACTCTCGTCGGCCGACGGGATTGGAGTAGAAATTTACAAAAAAACACAAGTCCTTTTGGCCACTCTCGTCGGGCCGACGGGATTGGAGCAGAAATCTCCAAAAAAACACAAGTCCTTTGTCGTCGTGCACCAATTTTCCTCTTAACACACTACCAGAAATATGTACTAACTACACTTCTCCCCCTAGCTCAACCACCTCGGCCACCTCTTCTCCTCGGCCTGTCCTTGCCTCAATCTGTTGCTCTCCCGTTCCTGCTTCAATCCTTCAGCAAAAACTCTCTGATGGTAAGTCTCTGTTTCTTTCCCTCTCCTCATCTGCTGCATACCTCCTCAACCAGCGATCCACATCAAACCACTAACAACAATCATACCCCAGCCGAGCAGGGCAACCCTCTCACCAGCCCAACCCTCAATCACATCCAACATCTCTCCCGTCTGCGCGTCCTCAACCCAAACAACGAACAACAATCTCCGATCAGCTCAACAGCAGACGAATGAGAAGCCTTCCCTGCCTCCCCCTCCATCCCTCCCTTCACTAGCTTGGTGGCGGACCACTGGATGATCCTACCCTCATCGGTCCAGCTTCTGTGGACCGGGAAGAAAACTCAAAAATTCCACAGTCGCCCACTTGTCCCAAACGCAGTCCTACCGATTCCTCGAGTAGCAGTACAATACTTTCTGGATTGTTTGAATTTAGCCTCACTCGGAGATAAGCTCAGTTTTTTTTTATTTCAATTTTCTTGCTATTGCGCTTTTTTTTCTTTCAAACTATCTAACAATAAATCAAATCCATTTATTCCAGAAAACGAGCTGAATCCAATCACTCTCACCTTCAGCAACTGTCTCTCCAATCCTTCAACTCTCGTTCCACTGTCCCAGGATCATCCGAGGAACAATTCTTTGTACCAATCGATGTCTCTTCAAGTCTCGCCCCTCGCTCTCCATCTCTAATTCTCAACTCCTCAGCCTCCATCAACACTCAAAATACCTCAAGCAATTTGTCCTGCTCAGTCGATTACCCCAGCTCGCATCCTCAACTTGATCCTCTTGATCATTCTCATCAAGCCGACCTGACACTCTAGTCTGAAGAGATCGGATAGTCAAGGACATGAGCCTTCCAGTCGACTACCTTCAGAGTCAGAACTATTGTCCGCCACGCCTAGTGATTCTCATTCAGCTCCTTCTTCTTCCGATTTGACCCCTCCTCCGGGAGGCACAGACAGATTGATGGACAACCCGGATAACGATTCACTTGACCCATCATCCTCTATCTCAAATCAAACTCTGGCTAAAATTTCTCGAAATCCTATCACAACATCAGATCCTTCTACCGTCAACCGCCGACCCTCCTCCACCATTCTCTAACATCAGTCGCGACAAAGAGGCTTGAGGCTTAGATGTGCCCCTTGGTCTGTTTCCGGGCGCCGCGGATGACGATACCATTGTCGATCGCTTTGGGTTCATCGTCGATGTCTAGTACGGCTTGCTCTATTGTCTGAAGAGTGAGCTTGCTTTTTTTTATTCATCTCTTCACTACTAGTTCTTGGAAATGATAGAATCATTGGCCCACAAATGTAGTCAGCAGGAGCAAGACGCGGCTGAAAATTATTTGGCTATTGGAAGATGATGAGAATGACGGGGATGATTACGATGCAGATGACGCGGTTTCGCGATTGACGTGCGCACAGAACACAGGTTCATTGGATTCTCTCCAGTATTCCCATTTGTCTGTATAGCAAGGAAGAATCTCATCCCCTTCTCCATTCTCTCTAAATATAATCTGTTTTACATGCTTCTTCGCGATTGAGCGCTGTACAAACTCAGGGAAGTGTTTGGCTTATTCTCCATGATCTCAAGTAATCTCACAACTGAGATTGTCTTCTCCTTCATAACTAGTTTCTCTATGACCTTCTCATTACCTGATAGTTCAGGCTTGATCTATGTTTTCTTCAAGGCTAAAACACAAAATTTACCCCTGAACTAGCACCCAAGAATCAAATCTTACTAAAATAAGCCAAGTCTCTGATTGATGATAGTAATTTTCCTTTGTTGTTTTTGTTTCTCAGCTTTTCTTCTCTTTCTTACAAAAAACTGCAAATTCAGTCCACAGAGAAGACTTATTCATGACAATTGTCAAGTGACAAAGGTGTAAAACAAATGGAAGCAACCAAAAAAGCCAACCACAACTGTCCTTGAACAGGTCAGGTCTTTACTGCATATGCAAGATGAATATTCTGCAAACTTTTGATGAATCTTCTGAAAAAAAAATTGCCTGTCTGCTCATCAACTCATCTGGCTCTACCTCTGCCACCCCACAAGAATTTTCAGTGCAATTCCTTTGAATCAGAAAGCAAGAAGAAGACAACAAACAAAAGAAGCAAACAACCAGTTACAAATGGAAGAAAAACAAGATGGCCTTGATCAATTTATTGACTTCACTGGAGGACAAGTCAGTTCACTTAACTTAAATCATTGTCCCTTCATTTTCAGATTCAGTTCTCTGATGACATTGTCCTATTTTAATTTCTCCTGACCTGAGCATCAAACAGAACAAAGAAAGCCATGAAACTGTGGAGGATTGCAAGGAATTGGCTAGTGATCAAGAAAAGGGTAATTAAAATTTTGAATCAAGGATTGATTATCTGGAATATTCAAACTGAAACCAATTTGCACCATGATCTAATTTTTCCACTCACTCAAGCCTTTGGGATTGAAATACTTTCGTGGAAGAAACCTACAATAGAGTCAAGCTGGAAGGCAATCCAAGACTCAATCATTGAATATCTCAAAAGCATAAACTCAGAGAAGTATTTAGTCAATGTCGAAAGCTTACATGAGGCCTTCAATTATATGAAGCCATCAACACGTCAAATTCCGGTCAGTCATACAAGTGACTATATTCAAGGAGATGGAAATTGTCTATTTCGAGCCGTTTCAGTATGGATGATTGGAATCCAAGACGCTCACAAACTATTACGGTCGGTTACCCAAATATACGCCAACAACCACAAAGAGTGGGTCCAAACCCTTCTTGGAGAAGATCAAGATGTTGAACAATGGATTGAAAATATTGGACAAATCAGCACTCGTGTGGGATGGGGAGACTCAACAGCGATTCAAGTTCTATCAAGGTGCTATGGTGTGATTTTATTGGTAGTTAGCTATGAAAGAAAAAACAATAGAGTAACCCCACGTAAATACTTTCCGGATCCTACAGTTGAAGATTCTGTCACAGAACAGACTGAAGTATACTTTATACTTCATATTGACAACCATTTTGAAATACTAAACCCCTTTCCAGATGGATTTTATATTTATAAGCTGAAATAACTTTGATCTTTACAAAATTAGTTGATTTTGATGTCTATAAATTTAGTTAATTTTGATCTCTATAGAATTACTTTTTTGATCTTAATACAATTAGTTCATTTCAACATTGCAATGATTTTCAAAAAAAAAAACTGAAACTGTCCACAATTTTCAATAACCCTTAAATTGTCATTAAAAGTTTGCACATGCATAACTCAGCTAATAAACCATTTCTCTCTCTCAGCTGGATGATTTTGAATTTGACACAAATGAGTTATTGAGGAGCAACATACAATTTTCATTGAATAAAATTCAATTCTAGACTTGCTGATCTGGTTTAAAACAACCTTGTCACATGTGCATTGTACTTTTGGCTATGTTCTCAGATTAGAAATCGGTTCCATATTGTCTTAATCATGCTGCATATTTTCCTCTTACATCTTATAATTGGTGGGTCTGTAAAAAAGGATTTTTGTATGTATCAAAATGTTGTTATGTAGTTTACACTTTCATCAAATTTACATAATATATTTAGGACAAGAAGTCTTACATACACCCAGTTGAGGATACAACACGCAAGAAAATCATAGTGTGACATGTAGATGACAGTTAAGAAGATGAAAACAAAAAAGGAAGAAAACAATTCATGAACACTATATGCAGCTCAACATCCTCCAGCAACCCCTTTCCAAAACACCAGAATATCTCAAAACAAGACAGGCATGACTTCCATCAACAAACAATCTCTGGAAACAGAATCACCTTCAAAAAAGCAACCCTCCCCAACAAAAAGATCCTTTTCAAATAAGAAATCCCCATCAACCAAAAAATTGTCCCCAAAAAATACAACTTCCCCAACAACAAACAAAGCTTCTCCCACCAAAAAACAAAAAACAAGTCTAGGTTCAACAATGAAGGGAGGTCTTATTCCAAATCCATCAGTATGTTCATGAAAATCTATCCCTTGTATCTTTTCTTTGAAGACATTCCTTATTGACTTGCCCCAAACAATCTTTTATGGGAAAACTATATCCACCAAAGCTCAAACAGACCAGACTTAACTGCTGGGTTTCAAAAGATAGAAAAGAAAGGCAAACACAAAATAGTAAACAGGTAAGTAATCCCTTCAGCACATTTCAAGCCCCAATTTTTTGATTCTAACACCATACAAAATACATAATAACTCTTCTCCATGAGCCAACAGGTTGTAGACATAAGCAGTGATGAAGATGTACCCTTATCCCAACCGGTTGGAATTGAAAGCAGTATATCTGATAGCAACAAACCCATCCCAAAAAAGGACTATACCACTGTTGTGGCAGAAGAATCTTCAACAGGCACCATTGAGGAGGAGCAAATGACAGATGCCCACAAAAACATAATAATGGTAAATGAAGAAGAATTTAAAAATCCAAGGCATTGTTCTGATGATCCCAGTATGAACATGGAATGCCTTACTAGTCAAGTGCTAATTCACTGGTTTCATTGGAATAAAGACAAAAATTCATAGCTAATAAATTTCCTTATTTCAATAATCAGGTGAAAGGTGAATATCCAGGACACTCTGAACTCCATGTCAATGAAGATTTGATTTCACATACAGGATTATCTGCACCTTCCAAGCTGGAAAAGGAAATCATAGAACAGGAAAAATCAGAAATTCAGGTGGTAAATTAGCTCACTATTATATACAAACTTGTGAATTTCATTAAATAGCTGAACACTGACCAAGGAAATTACACTTGTTGTGAATAAACCAGAAAGAGCCTCCTCAACCTGGAGAGGATTTTTCATACTCTCACATAGAACTCAATTCAATGAAACATGAACCAACAGGTAATTCTCTTTTCCACAAAAGAAACTTTCAGCATGATTCATTAACACACACCATCTTTCCTACATACAACAATACAGATGATCATTCTATCCATAAAAACCTGGAAGAGGGTTCCCAGGATTCAATTCTTTCTCCAAAAGAAGAGCAAAAAATCTTAAACCCAACATCAGTACAAGGCTTTAAAGAAGGAGAAGATGCAACAATCTCTGCTCATGATTGTAAGCATAATTTTTTATTCAAAATAACAACAGAAGGGGAAAATGAAAGTGTTTTGGATTTGTTTATATATATTCACTCTTCCCAATGTGGATGAAGATTTTAATTCACACACAGGATTATCGCCATCTTCCAAGCTGGAAAAGGAAATGATAGGACATGAAAAATCAGAAAGTCAGGTGGTAAATTAGCTCACTATTATATAAATACTTGTATATTTTATTAAATAGTTAAATACTGACCAAGGAAATTATATTTTCTTATGAATCCACCAGAAAGAGACCCCTAAACCTGGAGGGGATTATTCATACTCTCACATAGAGCTCATTTCAATGAAAAGTGAACCAACAGGTAATTCTCTTTACCACAAAATGAAACTTTCAGTATGAATTATTAACACACACTATCTTTCCTACATACAACAATGCAGATGATCACGCTGTGATTGATGGAACTGTGAAAAAGGATTCCCAGACTTCAATTATTTCTTCAAAAGAAGAGGCAAAACCCATAACCCCAACATCAACACAGGGCTCTCAAGAAGAAGAAGTTATAATCTCTGCTGATGATTGTAAGCATAATTTCTTATCTAAAATGAGAAAAGAAGAGGCAAATGAAAGTGTTTTGATTGATTTATTTATGTTATCCATTTTTCAAATCAGACAAATTGTTGGAATTACTTGCGGCTGAATTTGAAAAATGAATGGGATTTCTGGAAAAGTTCCCATCTAATTTTTTTAAAGACCCAAGCATCTCTTCACAAGAGGCCCTCAGTTTTTTATACTCCATAAAAATGAATTAAAAAGACTATATTGTAGTTTCCATTCATCTGTGCATGATCATTTAGCTTGAGAGAAAACTTGCTGATTGTGATGGTTTTTGGAAGGGAACATTAATCCATCAAAGATTACAATTATGAAAAACCCATATTCATTCATCAATAAAGCCAGTAATATGAGGATTATGTTTATTATTGACTAAAATTTACCTTTGTGAATTATCATTACTATCTCCAAAAGGTGTAAGTTATTGGTAATATCATTATGCAAATTACACATCATAAGCGGTATCCCAGATATGATAATTTGAATTCTTCAATCCTCATAAAGATAATTCAAAATCTATAAGATTAAATATGCACATGGGGTCTATGTAGAGGACTGAGAATGGAACATCACACACAGGGGAGAATAGAGTGTGAATCTTCATAAAACAGGGCCAAACAAAAATATATTTTTTGATAAAAATGAATTAATTAATAAGGAGAATATATATGTACATTCTCATTAGAATTTTTACTCAAAAGTGTCATAAATAACCTGAATCAGATAATATATTATTGGGATAGGGATTTAATTCATTTATTTTTGTGATTCTTTTGGTTTGCCATTGTGTAATACATTTACATGCCTGAAGAATATTGTGATCTGACTTTTATCTTTCTTGAAGGTTTCAAGGAATTTACTTATAATTTGAAAATTATCAGATTCAATCCTCTTACACTGCTGTAGATGTCGTCGCGCAACGGCTATCCTGCTGTGGAAGTCGTCGCGCGACAGCAGCTGTGCTCCAACAAGCGGCTGCTGCCCTTTTCTGGCTCCGCAGTCCGCAAAGGTTACACACTATCTCTCGACCGTCCTCTGGATTCAACACTTCAATGCCAACTGCCACCACACCCACGCCCTCCAACTCACACCGTTCACCTGACGCTAACCTTATGGCCGCCTTCCTCCTGTTCGACTCTCTCGTCCCATCGAAGAACACGGTCCCTCAAAACCTCTTCCGCATCTCCCTCTCATTGAAACGTGCCAACAAACTAGACATCAACCCTTCCTCTTCACATAATGAGCTGGCAAGGGGTCAATGGGGTGCCTTGCCAGCTCATCGCCAATGCTAATGGGAGTGTGAAACAATCCACAGGCCATCAGATAGGCTTGATTCCGATTTCAATCGGGTCTTCTACTCCTATGAAGCAAATGGTAAGTTGATTTCTCTAGACTGATTTTGAATCTGATCGGATCTTTCTTGTCATCACCAAGCCTGATCAATGTTTTTAATCTGATCTACTCCATTCTAGAGGTCAAATGATGTCCGACCCGAAGGCAAACCTTGATTGAATCCAATCTTACCTGCTACCGAGTTCCGACTTATACCAAATCGAAGGTGGTTTTTCATTGTTGCCGATTTCTTTCATCCTTCTTAAAAGACGGCCGTTTACTTCTTCGGTCTGCGTCGCGGACCTTCACCTCCAGCGCAGAAATAATCCAGAAGAAAAACAAAGAGTGAGTTATTGGCACTTTATCATCAGATGATTTTCCGCTTCATGAAAGCAGTTCTTGCATCTAATGATGCCAAAATATCGCCTTATACTCAAACAAATAGAACCGATATGCAAACGAGCTGTTGAAAATCCAGCAAAAAAAAAAGCACCACCACCACTCATCTCAAAAGGTCGTCGTAGAATTTGCCGAATATCAAACATCGGCTGCTTGGAAGACGAACGAGAACGAGAACGTCCAGCTCATCCAATCGTAAGCAGTCATCGATCGACCTGTCTGTTTTTTTTACATATTCAATCTCCATCCCACTCTTACTCTCCCTCCCTCACTCGCTATCCGATTAGATATCCACATCGCCTTCTCATTTCGTTCCTCCACAGACCACCCATTGATTCCACCCTTTCTAATCTCTGCCTACAGACTGCTTCACCCGAATTCGTTTTGGTCGTCTGCATAACTCATCCGCACTTCCTCCTTCATGGCAAAGAAAACGCAACCCTGTCGATCGGCTGCTTCGGCTCTCCAATCAGCTCAACAGCAGAAGAATCAGAAACCTTCCCTGCCTCCCCCTCCATCCCCCCCTTCACTAGCCCCAAAGTCCAAAACATCCGGCTCTGCAAAGAAGAAGAATAAGAAGAAGGCTGCCCAGGCTCGTCAACTCGACTCGATCAACCATCTGGATCAACTCAACGACAACCATACTGATTCAAACAGTCTGATCGGTCGATCTGATATGATTGGTGCCTATCCGGCCGAAGATGCCGTCTCAATCACCCAGCGGACAACAACCGGCAGCATCTCCCCCGATGAGGACGAGGACGACCGGATCACCTCTCATACCATGCATTCCAGTCTGGCTGCAGCCACCCGTCAGACTCAAGAAGATCTACTCGCCACAGCTAACGACCTCTACCGTCAGATCGAGTCTGCAGCCGCAGCCGCACTCGCTACTACTCAATACCCCAAGAGCAACAATTCGATCCATAACTCTAACAATCAGAACCAATCCTCGACATATCATCAATCCGGTCATTCAAACTCAAGTCAGTCCTCTTTGGCATCTCTTCCTCCCCCCGGTGGCTCAAGTCCTTCCCGCTTCTTTTCTTCTTCGTCTTCCCCTCCTTCTCTCCTTTCAATCATACATATCATCCTTCCCTTTTCCTTGTTCCTTTTATATCCTCTTATATCCCAATCAGCCCCGAGGCTTGATCTAGCACAAACGTGATGGTTATCAATCATCAACCCGCTTCTTCTTTACCACCGATCTTGCTCATACATGCCGATTCGGGCGCAATCAAGCTCTCTTTTTGCTCTTCCCCTCCTAAAGATTCCATAGAATTCAGACTGTGTTGACATCGATGACCTCATTAACTTAGTTTTGTCTTTTTTCGCGCTTTTTTTTTGGTTCCTGTTTAACAACTTTCAGATAATCACTCGCCTCATCCGGATGATGATGCATATTGGAATTCTCTTCCTGCTCATCTGCGATCGTTTATTCGTTCTGCTCTTCCCCTTGCTGCCGGTCACTCATCTTCCAATAGCAATCAATCACAGTCCTCCGCTCAGAATCCCGGTGCCATCCTACCAAACCTGTCTTCCTTCGCCCACGCAACCGGTATGGTCACCTCCACGACCACCTCCAACAACCAACAGAGCGTACCCCAACTGACGAGCGAACAAATGGCAGCAGCAGCTGAACAATTGGCTCGAGTCGTCCAAAGTCACGATTGGGGTCGAGCGGTCTCCACTGCAGCGCAACAGGCCGGCTTATCGCATACTAGCGTCATGAACCACATCATCAATGGCACTGCTCGATCGTCTCACAATTATAGTCGTGATGGGAGCGGCGCCGCTGCTACACTTAGCGTGACAGGTGGAACTGTCACCGGAACGATACCCCTCGGAAGTTTCACCCTGCCTCTACCCCTTCACGCTCATCCTGAACAACATCAGCACCAGAACTCACATGGGATTAATGAGCCTGTTTACTACACTGGCGAGACGACTATTGTGACCTCGAGAATCGGTGATAAACACAATGGCGATGATGGTTTGTTAGATGATGGTTATTACAGCGATGATGCGAGAGGAATGCGAGGTGACATTAATCATACTATACTCGACAACCGACATAACCACTCTGAACAAGCTAGTAACGCTAGCAATATTGGGGTCAACAACTCATCTCCAGCAATGACAACAACCACGAGTAACAAGAAGAAGAAGAAGAACAAGAAGAAAAAATCGGTCAGTCTCCAGAAATCTGTTTGAATCTTAAGTTGGCTCACCACCACTGAATACTGATCTTTTGATTATCGTTATTACTATTCATGCCATTTTGCTTCATCAGGGTAACGCTGGTTCCAATGAAGCTACCCAACCTCCTCCTGTTCCGAGTATCGATGTTCAGCGTTCCGCTCCTGCGTTACCATCGAATCCTGGAGTCCCCACCAAAGCATCATCTCAACTCAATCCATCAACGCGAAAACCTGGTCTTGATCCTCCGGGCGGTCATCTCACAAATCAGACCCTTTCACCAAATGCTGCTGCGCCCGCCTCTCGACTGCCCCCAGTTCCACCATCTGCTCAGAAAAAGAAAAGTCCTATCGCCACTTCATTGTCTTCTAACATCAACAATTCAGCCTCCTCATCGACCGTCACAAACACCAACTCGAATAACACCTCCCATCAGCCCACCGAACGGGAGCGGATTCGCGTCTTCTGGTTGACGCTGAATCAAGAGGAGCGAGCAAACCTTGTTAAGATTGAGAAGGATGCCGTGCTGAAAAAAATGAAGGAACAACAGCGGCATTCTTGCTCCTGTGCAGTCTGTGGACGAAAACGACTAGCGATCGAACAAGAACTAGAAGTATTGTACGATGCCTATTATGACGAACTGGAGAATTACGCGGAGGCCTCCAAGAAGTATTATGGCTCAGACTTGAAGACAAAAGGCGACAAAGGCCTTCCTGGAGCCTACCCAAAGCCACCAGGACCCGGACCATTCCCAGGAAGTGTGGACATCATGATGACGGCGACCCAACCATCAACTCAAGTTGCATCCAAGAAGGCTGTTCCCAAACCTACTCGTGATCATAAAAACATTCGGCCAAGACCTCAGCAAGCCGTGCCTCAGCAGACTCATCCACCGCCCCAATCTACAAATGGAACCAATGGACATTATCAGCAACCACCAGGTGCCGCCAAACAAAACTTACCCCCACCGTCTCAATTGAAGAAGTTGAATTCACATAACAGCAATAGTGATCACGATCACACGCATAGCCCAAGCTGCCCCCACCATCCTCATCACCACGGTCCAAATCACTATCACCCCAACAATCGTGGAAAAGGTGTTGCTAATGCTCACTGCATTCCCCCGGCTGCTCATCCACGGACACATCCCCGAAATGAAGACGCGTTTCCCGATGAAGATGCAGAGGATGAGGAAGATGAGGATGAATACGACGATGACGATGAGGAAGAATATGATGAAGTTGGTCTGATTACTATTTTGGCTTGTTTTCGATCTGTTATAGCTGACCTAGATCCTGCCTCTTCACAATGCAACCACTTTTACCCTTTTAGGACGAAGAGGAGGAAGGCGAGTTTGAAGATGATGATGAGATCCCAGCGTTAGAAGAAGTGCCCAGCGAAACGTTGGTACCAAATAACGCACACAAGAAACCTCCCATCAACGGCACAAATATGCCTTACCCTAATAAATTGCCCAATGGCGATAAACTGAGTAGCACGCATGCAAACAACAGCGATTTATTTGGATTTGGAAACTCTCTAACTGTCAAAGGTCCGTTGGCTTGGATTTCATTTTTTTTTCTAATCACCAGCTTCTTCATCATTATACTCTCCTGCTCTTTCCTTCACATTCATAGAGCAATGGAGGCATCAAAAAACCATCCCTAGCTTTTGAGTCACCTAGTCATTCTGGACGTTACTTGTATTGAGCTCATTGCGTCTCATTCTTCCCCCCCCCCCTTTTCCTTTCTCACTTGATTTGTTTCGTTCCCATACGGTCGCTGTTAAAACATTGCGAATCGTTTCCGTCGATTATTCCGCTTCAACCCACCCTTGCGGCTCGGTCCAGGAGGTATATTGACCGTGGCCGACGACCTTCTTCGGAACGATGGGCAAAAGTTCTTGGAAATGATGGAATCATTGGCTGATAAACGTATCCAGCGGGAGCGAGATGCGGCCGAAAATCTTCTGGCTATTGGAAGATGATGAGAATGACGGGGATGGTTACGATGCAGATGAGAGTAGGATGATGAGGTGCGGACCTAAGCATTCAACTTGATGGTTTGCCTCACTGACAAACAATTCTTTGTGTCTTGCTTGGTTTTGCTTGGTTTACCAGCTTGACAACAACAATGTATTTGATGAAAAGATCATCACTGTCTTATCCTCAAATCACACTGATCTAGTGTGCTTGTCTTTGTCTCTCTTCTTGTCGTGGTCTTTTGACTTAGGATCCCCTCCCTTCCTCTTGGTGCCGCCTCCTGCTTTCATTTGTTGGTCTTGTGAGCTGTGAATGAAATTCAATTGGTCTGTCAGTTTGAGTATCTGCTTGGATTTATGGAGAGTATACCTTAGGAGTTAGTCTGTCAATCTTGGCTTGTTCCTGCTTGATCCATGTATCCTTCAAGTCTAAAACACAAAATTCACCCCTGAACTAGCACCCAAGAATCAAATTTTACTACTAGGATTTGTGACAGTCGGGGTCATTTGGATTCTGGATAAAAAGCCATTCTGCCCAGGTATATTTTAGTGAGCTAAGACACACAAAACTTCCTGCCAAGTTTTCAATAATGAATAACCTGATGAATTTAGTAAAATAAGCCAAGTCTCTGATTGATGATAGTAATTTTCCTTTGTTGTTTTTGTTTCTCAGCTTTTCTTCTCTTTCTTACAAAAAACTGCAAATTCAGTCCACAGAGAAGACTTATTCATGACAATTGTCAAGTGACAAAGGTGTAAAACAAATGGAAGCAACCAAAAAAGCCAACCACAACTGTCCTTGAACAGGTCAGGTCTTTACTGCATATGCAAGATGAATATTCTGCAAACTTTTGATGAATCTTCTGAAAAAAAAATTGCCTGTCTGCTCATCAACTCATCTGGCTCTACCTCTGCCACCCCACAAGAATTTTCAGTGCAATTCCTTTGAATCAGAAAGCAAGAAGAAGACAACAAACAAAAGAAGCAAACAACCAGTTACAAATGGAAGAAAAACAAGATGGCCTTGATCAATTTATTGACTTCACTGGAGGACAAGTCAGTTCACTTAACTTAAATCATTGTCCCTTCATTTTCAGATTCAGTTCTCTGATGACATTGTCCTATTTTAATTTCTCCTGACCTGAGCATCAAACAGAACAAAGAAAGCCATGAAACTGTGGAGGATTGCAAGGAATTGGCTAGTGATCAAGAAAAGGGTAATTAAAATTTTGAATCAAGGATTGATTATCTGGAATATTCAAACTGAAACCAATTTGCACCATGATCTAATTTTTCCACTCACTCAAGCCTTTGGGATTGAAATACTTTCGTGGAAGAAACCTACAATAGAGTCAAGCTGGAAGGCAATCCAAGACTCAATCATTGAATATCTCAAAAGCATAAACTCAGAGAAGTATTTAGTCAATGTCGAAAGCTTACATGAGGCCTTCAATTATATGAAGCCATCAACACGTCAAATTCCGGTCAGTCATACAAGTGACTATATTCAAGGAGATGGAAATTGTCTATTTCGAGCTGTTTCAGTATGGATGATTGGAATCCAAGACGCTCACAAACTATTACGGTCGGTTACCCAAATATACGCCAACAACCACAAAGAGTGGGTCCAAACCCTTCTTGGAGAAGATCAAGATGTTGAACAATGGATTGAAAATATTGGACAAATCAGCACTCGTGTGGGATGGGGAGATTCAACAGCGATTCAAGTTCTATCAAGGTGCTATGGTGTGATTTTACTGGTAGTTAGCTATGAAAGAAAAAACAATAGAGTAACCCCACGTAAATACTTTCCGGATCCTACAGTTGAAGATTCTGTCACAGAACAGACTGAAGTATACTTTATACTTCATATTGACAACCATTTTGAAATACTAAACCCCTTTCCAGATGGATTTTATATTTATAAGCTGAAATAACTTTGATCTTTACAAAATTAGTTGATTTTGATGTCTATAAATTTAGTTAATTTTCATAAAATTGTCATTGAAATTTTGCACATTCATACCCCCATCCCATACACGTGCTGATTTGTCCAATATTTTCAATCCATTTTTCAACATCTTGATCTTCTCCAAGACGGGTTTTGACCCACTCTTTGTGGTTGCTAGCATATCTTTTTAACATCTCATAATAGTTTGTGAGCTTCTTGGGTTCCAAACATCCATACTGAAACGGCTCGAAATAGACAATTTCCATCTCCTTGAATATAGTCACTTGTGTGTTTGACTGGAATTTGATGTGTTGGTGGCATCATATAATCAAAGGCCTCGTATAAGCTGTCCAAGTTGATGAAATGCTTCTTTTCTTTTCTTTTCTTTTCTTTTCTTTTCTTTTCTTTTCTTTTCTTTTCTTTTCTTTTCTTTTCTTTTCTTTTCTTTTCTTTTCAACTTTATATTGGAATAAACATTTTGTGGAAGACATTAAGTGCTCTAATATTAAACAGAATATGAATTGATTCAATAGGATGATCAATGTTGATTCTGATGCCAGCACATTATCAACCTGCACTGATGCAAACATAGAAGATGATCAATTTTAAAGTAGCTGTGACCTAGACAAGAACACGTGCACATTATTAGTAAATAGTTGGTAGTGTAGGAACCTTAAACACCATCTAGTACTATTTATATATTTACCTAGTGCTAATTAGTTCAATCTTTACATATACATCTTGAGTGTTATAAATACATTTGATATTCCAAGTCACAAAAACAGAAATTGTGATTTTAGAATGAAAGATTTGAGTAGCTTGTGGTCTGGAAATTTATAACACTCATGTTATGATCATGTGCTAGTATTTCTGATAGATATAACTGATGGCCAAGGTGGAATAGAGATGGCACTTTGGGTACTGAACCTTTTTCATTACTGAACTCTCTACATGCATCTCTGCTGCCTGATGATGTGGAGGGAGTGTTCTGAATTGGGGCAGGTACCCCCCAACAGGTTGCAAAGTGTGCTTGAAAACATTTTTTTCCAGTTACAAAAATCAACAAATGACCTATCAATTGTTTGTGGACTTGGCAAATACGTCAAATCAAGGAGGATAATGATTGTGAAGAATACAGATGGGAGGGTTGTTGAGGGCCTAGCCAGTCTGGTTGATTAGATTTGGGGAATGATGAGTTTTTGAATGCCATCCATTAACTCACTTGTTCAATGTTTGGCTAGTTGGCAACTTGAAATCTCAGATGTGGTAGCCAACATGAGTGGAATATTGTGGGTTCTCAAACTGGCCAAGAGCTTGAACAGTATTTGTGCAGGAATCACATGATTGTCAGGGGTTTGATGAGAATTCAATTTCCAGGCAGAGGAACAAATTTTATGGTAGTGACCTATATTGATGGAAACTAATGGGTGAGTCAATTTGGCGCATGACAATAGGGGAGGGAATTTTATACAAGGATGGGAGGGTTGACACAGTTTTATGAGAATCATGAACTCCCAGTCTATAGAAGACACAGTGAGTAGTCTCAAAGGGAGATCCCCTACCATTTCACATGCAAAAATATCAGTGTTTAATGGACTTGGATTTTGGATCATGTTTTTATTTATCAAGGAATTTTGATGTTGGAGCTCTGCATGCAAAATGAAAGCCATAAGTGAGCCCACTGGATTTTGAATATTGTGATACACTTTCTGCTAGATAGGAATTCAATCCCCTTTTTTACATTTTGGCCTGAAATCCAGAACAAACAACAATCTCATCCAAAAACTTTACCAGCTCTAGATACCCAAAACAGACTTGGATTAGCTTTCTTTGCTCATCTTAAATGAAACACAGGAAAAACGTAAGTAAACCAATGAGTTGTCTGATTTCTGAATAGATGAATAAACCACTGATTACTATCCATCAAATATGCAAATCATTTATTCCACAGAATCAAACTTTAAAAAAATCATCCCTACCACCAAAGCTTAAGCAAACAAGGCTAGACCACTTCAGATTTCAAGTAGTAGAAGATGACACACAAAATATTCCTGTCAAGCTTGACATAAAGGTAACAGTTATTAAAACAGACCAAGAAGTGGTATGGTTCATTCTGAATGATGAAAAAACAATTGACTCATTACATAAGTATGGCTTTGTCTTTCCTATTTCATTTGACAAAAAAAAAAAACAGCATGCCACAGGCTCCAATGGTGAAAAGAAAATTCAAAAAGTGGTAAGCTATTCTTTAATTTGATCCAGCCAAGGCTTGAATCAATTGAAATTTTCACTGATTCATTATTTTGAGATCAAAAGAATGTTGATTCTATTAGCAATGAGGATATATCCTTAAGCCTGCTTGGGTCAAGTGAAAGAAGTGCACATGTAAGTAAAGCCAATATTATCAAATTTTGACTTCAAAATTGTCAAGCTCTAGATCTTGAAACCTTTAACTTATTGGTTGATCATTTTTAATCCCTAGGATTCCAAATCTTTTGAACAACATGACAAGGTGGGTACATGGAAAGGAATCTCAAGTATTTCAATGAATGCTGGAGAGGAGATCAACCACAAATTAACTTCAACTAAATCCCAATATTCAAAGGTGAAAATAGGCTTTTCTTAAAAATCAAAATCTAGATATTACTAATCAGAATCAATTTTTTTGTATTTAGGAGTTCAAATTGGAGACCAAACCAAGTTCATCTCATCAAAAAAATAAAGACAAGAAGCTTCAAATTGTGAGTTAAGTTAATCTTGAATCAGCAAGCATAAATCAAGAAGAAGAAAAATTAAATCACCAGTGAGCTGCTTCTGTAGAATTCTGATACCAAAAGCCAATCTTACTTTCCAATTTTTGGTCAAACTAAGCAAAAGCTCCAAGCTTTCACCAACAATACCCATTATCCTAGTGGAAGACATTATTGGAAAACTATACAGATTGTATTAAAAGAAATGTTAGAAAATGAAAATTTTCAACATTCAAAAATCAATCAGAATGTATTAGCCCAAAGCGTAGGAATAAATGGACTGGATTCTCAATGGAGGTTTAGTTTTAATTATATAAAAGGTACTTTTTCATATCAAATTCATTCCAACTTCTAGTTATCCAGATGTGATTCATGTTCATATTTTTTGTGCAGGTGATGGGACTTGTCAGTTTCGTGCCCTTTCTTTATGGCATGAAGGAAGGCAAAGGTCTTGGAAAAAAATTAGAGATAAAATTATTGAAGAGCTCAAATCAAACACTTTAGCATACAGATCATATTGCATAGAAGTTGATAAAAAAGGAAATCCCATCTCTTTGGCTGAATATGTTCAGAACATGGAAATGAATGTTAAAGAATGGGGATCCAATATCACTTTATTAGCCATGTGTAATATTTTTAAGCTTAATATTTTAGTCATATCCCTTCATAGCTCATCATGTTTCAGCCAGATGATTAGTCCCAGTGCACCAGTCAATTTCAAAATACCTTGTTATATTTTATGTTTGTATAAAGATCACTATGAAGTAGTATTCCATACTCAAGCTAACTTGATTCAATAAGGATTACATATATTTGATACTATAAACCTGATGCACTTTCCACCTGAATTCCACCTTAACCTTAATCACAAATCCACCAACTTAGGGTTGATTATAATCCCTATATAAAAATGACCCATCAAACAACTTAGCATCCCCTAGCCCAAATTCTCTTCCTAACAAGACAGAGAAAGTTGTAATTATAGAAACACTCATTCATTGCAATATTAAATCCTGAATCAGTAAGTAAATTGCCTTCACTGTATGCCTAACTCACACAATCTAACCAAAGAAAATTTCCATTAAATTAGCAGATAGAATATTCTGAAAGCAGTGATGAAGAGAGATTCATTTCTGATTTGCTCAATCTACCCAGGGTATCCAAGGAAATCATCAACCAGGGGGTGTTCCAATCCACTTCAAAGGCAGGAGAACGTTTCTCTAAAAGAAACTTTCCTGCATCCAAGGTCCTCTATCAATCTACTTCTAAGATTGACTTGATCAACTCAGGCAAATGTTATGACAGGATATCCAAGGTCAGTTCATTTCATTATTGTTTCATCTGCCATATTCTGACAGAGATTTCACTTGTTATCTCAGACTTCACATGATCTTGAGATTGTACAGAGCAACAAGTCCAAGTCAGAGGCAAGACATGCTGGTAAGCTTTCACAAGACATAATCAACAAACAATCCATGAAGTTAATCTATCTGCTTTGATGTTTTCAGAATATACAAAGAAGCTGGACCGGGCAGTGTTAATAGTGATCATTTTATTACTTCCAGCACCATAGATGTTGTCCCGTGTCAATTATCCACCCTCTAAAGAAGCATATAGCATCAGATGATACATTCAGCTTGCATATGCTTGTACACCCCTATAGATGTCGTCGCGCGACGACTATCAGCAGCTTGTAAATACATAAATATGTGTTCACAGAAAAAATCCCCTCAAACGGAAGCTCTGGGGCCATGCGCAGCACTCTCAACAATGACACTCAGTCAAAGAAACTCAAACAGCCAGCAATCTCCAACTTCAATCAGACTACAACAAGAATACTTCTCCCGGCATCAATCAGCTCATCCGGATCAGACACACCGATCATCCATTTGCCACAACCAATGCCTCATTCGCTGGATTAAACTCAATCAATCCTCCAAAACAAGCCCGAGCGTTATGAGCTAGAATATGAAAGACTGGTCCGACGACGCGCTCGAGAACTCACATCAAACCCTTCTCCATCCTCCTCCTCTGCTACCGCAGCAATTACCCCACCCGACCAAGGGCCTACAGAGTCGGACGCGTCCAAATCGTGGTATTTCATTCGGTTCCCTTGCACAGACCCAACCGGGTTGAACATAACAAGAACGAGATTACTTGACTGAAAAGCGGGTTATGGATGTTGCAGTCGAACACGACAAGACTAGACAGAATCGCAAGCTTACTTATTAGTATATCCACCAAACGACAACGACACCGATACCAACGTCGTAAGATGCGATTTCCTGTGCTCTGTCTGTTCAAATGGATATCTCTACTGATGCCCAAAAATGCCTATGACATTGCCCATCTTTGATATCCAGCTCATGGCCAACGATCGTCCGCGTGAGCCGGACAGGAGCTCGAGAAATCTCAAAAGGCTCCGATCGGAAGTGATTGAAATCAGTAGCGATGAGGATGGCGACCCAAAACAAGCAGCCGATCGCCATCGAACCAAGATCGGATCCCGAGATATCTCCAGTATCCCCCCCGTCCCGAGCGCCTCCAAACCTCAATCAGTCCTCCAAAACAAGCCCGAACGTTATAAGCTAGAGTATGAAAGACTGGCCCTACAACGCGCTCGAGAACTCGCGTCAAACCCTTCTGCATCCTCCTCCTCGGTCAGCCCAGCAGTTACCCCAACCGACCAAGGCCCTAAAGACTCGGACCCATCCATATCCGAGCCATTCCCTAATTATTGGAATTCAGCTATCAAGGTGACCTTCAACGATTGGTACCCTGATTGTCCTAACACGCTTCGAATTGAAGATATCATTGGTCCGGTAAAGTTGCCTTTCCTATGTATCAATCCTACGTCAGATGTAATCCTTTGGTTCCCCCTGACGCCGCATATACTTTTCTTCTTTTCGATCATATGTAGAAAGATCGGATCAAAATGGCCTTGGTCAGCTCTTACGTCCTTGAACTCCCTTGGATCCATAAACTATTCAATCCAAGGACTCGGATCATGGTTATCAGGCACCACACAGACGTCAGCCATTCTCTCCTCTCCACCTTATTCTCCACCATCCAGGCTGACATTGATGATTTCCTCCTCTTATTCACAACATACATACATACATTACATTACAGTGTGGGTCGTTTAAGGTTAATGAACGTGCGAACATGTTCTTGTGCCATCCCCCAATGCTCAAAACTGCCAACGGTAACGCCAAAGCTGGCTGTATGCATATCAAGTTGAGAAAGCATATCTTCTAATCTCATCTTTTACTGTCGATCAAAATTATCTAACGGTGTTCCTATTCTTATGATTCTCAGATTCTTTATTGTCAGTACCAGAAATCTCAAAATCTAGAATCATATATATCATGCCATCCAACACAAGTGAAGCTGATCAAACCATAATTCAACGCGATCCAGATATTCTACGATAATTTTTGTCGAGTTGCGATTCCGACGGCAAACGCAGTCTCCTTCGATTATGAATTTGTTGAGAATGTAAGTTGAGCAATCGGTTGGCTTCTTGATCAGGAAGGAACTGATCATCTTTAGTAATTGCTTTCCATGTTCCCAGGCAATTTGGATCCAAGATTTCCGACGGTTCAGTGGAAATACGATCGGATATAACAGTAGACGATCTGATGACGTGCCCCCGTTTCGAAAAACTCTTGACGACTTGCTCGACCGGATGGGAGTCCCTCTCCCATTTCGTAAACCGCTAAAGGATCATGATTTCGGCTCAGCGGCTGCAAAGTAAATCACACAAGAATTCCCGGTTTGGTTGATATACCTGCCTCATGCTTATCTCCCCTTGTTTTTTTTCTTTCTTCGTTACTCACGCGGATTTAAATTTTAGTCTGGTAGTTTCTATTCAAGGCACCCATCCCGCGAATTCACCGATGGGGCAAGCTCACTTGGCAGAGCAGTTGAAAACTCTTGGACTCCAGTCAGGACCGGGCACTGGCCGGACAGCTACACTGGAATGTCAGGTATGCATTGCATGCATTCGGTTATCATTCTTACTGAATTTCACTTTACTCGTAGGGCTCATCAATCGGCAGTTACGATTTGAAGTGGCTCAATAACTTTTACCGTTGCGCATCTGGTTCACCGCCAACAGCTAGTACCGAAGATCCAGACTTGCAGACTAAGACGCCCCCGCTCACAGTGCTATACCCGACCCTTCATACCGTCCGAAATAGTCACAGCGGAAAGGCTGGAGCTGGGACGTTATTTTGTAACAAAGCCACTTGGGAAAAGGCGAACTTTCCAACCCATATCTTTGCGGATACCATGTCCAAACGTACCGGAGTTTTAATGCACGTTAAGGTGAGCCCCCTCTCAGATAGATGTCCACTCTCTGAGCCACGAATGATTATTTCTCACAAATGAGAAAGAATATGCTGGTACTTGGATTATAGATGATTTTGGGTCTATTCAACTCTGACTCATCGGCGAAGTCGACTAGCTCAACACTGGATACAGCTAGTGTTGAGAAGTCTGGTGCAAGAGATGGGAGGATTAATAAGGATCACGCTGGCTTCTTGTACATTGGCTCTCATAACTTGTAAGTTGAAGTGTTTACGATCCTTTTAGTAAGAGCTCGTCTCATCTGATTAATGTTCGATGTGCGGATCATAAACGTAGTACTCCAGCCGCTTGGGGTAAGTTCAACTTGAAATCGGGCTCCGATGATTCTACTTCACTGGAGATCAGCAATGTAAGCGGTGAATCAGCGGATGTTCTATTGATCAAGATCTGGATCTATTGACAGTTTCTTTCTTTTCTTTTTTCGTAGTGGGAGTTGGGGGTTGTGTTACCGGTCAAGTCACATGCACAGGCTGAGGAATATGTGACTTGGCAGAGGCCAACGAAACCCTATGGACATCGTGGGAAGGATACTTCGATCCCATGGTGAGAGAAATTGAGCACTGAAAAAACAAATAAACCTGTGATGATGATCTTGATTGCTTACTCCAATTCTGCTCATCTACGTATGTAGGATGCAATTCTCACACGGGCGTTGAGCTTGTTGTAAACTGAAGTATTTGATGATTATGTAGAGCTGGGATTGATTGTTTGAATTATTTGTACGATCGTTATTATTTATTTATTTAGCTAGTTCTTCTTCGTGATGATAGAAATCCAAGACGAGTTTTTTTTTTTCTTGTTCTTGTTCTAATTCTCTGATCGGATGTTGTGGAAGTAAATACAAAAGGAAATGAGTTTAGAGTTGAGCGAGCGTGCTCTTTAGTTTGTATTGCTTGATGAGATCTTGATGGTGTTGTGGTTGATGTGATGTCATAGTGTGCTTGTTCTGGGAATGGACCGTGTGTTTCCCCCGGGGGGGGATGGTGCATACCCTCATCTTTTTTTCTTTTCTTTTTTTTTGGAGTTCACAGTCAAGCCAAGAACCAACCAACTCGACCATCAACTACGACGACGATGAACTACCAACCCATCCAAGCCGCACACAACCACCAGCACTTGGTCCCACCTCGGAGTCGGAAGTGCAACCTGCTCCTGCTCACCCTCATCCCAATCATCTTCTGTCTCTCCTCACTCAGCTTCATTGCCTTCAAGCAATCCCAGTCATCTCAACCAACACTAATATCATCTCCCTCACTCTACTCACTCAAACTGTTCGACCATCACCAGCTCAAATCTCAGGCCAAACAACTCTCATCTGACCTACTCAGCTGGCTCGACTCCGTCCACAACCCACTCCGACTACCTTATTCTTCAACCTCTGACTACGACTCTGACCAGGATAACCCGCTCCTCAATTCACCCAACGACCAGTCTCCTCGTCCAATCCTACCCCTCCTCCTCAACTCACGCCAATCCTGGAAATCAATCCTACACTCTCAGCCACTCTCTCTCCAACAGGCCCGGCTGGACTATGAACAGAACTTCCATCCACTCCAACCACCTCCCGGCTTCGATCAATGGTTCCAATTCGCACGGCTACATAACTTCACCCTCATCAACCGATTCGACAGCCTCATGTCTGATCTCGAACCATTTAGAAAGCTAGCCCCCACCGAACTGAGCCGTCGCACTCAAGAACTCGTCAAGATCCCCGGCATCACCCTCGTGAAAATTAACCCAGACTCGAGCGTCCAAACTAGCTCGCCCAGTGGTCGATTTGCTGCCGGCCATGCATTACAACAGATCATCGATCGCATACACTCTCAATCCGACTTCAAACTCCCTGCACTCGAACTAGCCATCAATGAAAATTCTGAAGCAAGAGTCTTACCTCGACAGACCCGTCCACTAGCAGGCGAAGAATTCAGCTATCTCTCCGATGAGGATCGAAAACTCTACGGTTAGTCACTGGTTCTTTTTATTTATTTTATTTTTTATTACTTTTAAAGCCACATACACCACCCTGATAAAACTATTTGCTCCTTTGTAGACCAGCAAGATCCGGAAAAGAAGCCTTCGCTGGCTGGATTCAAACCTCAATGGGGGCAAGATGGGAACGTATGGGATGCCTACCGGCGTGCCTGTCCCTCTGACTCTGCCGCACGACGTCTGGTAGAGACCATCCGATCAGCTGAATCTCTTACGGGTGCCGTGGCTGCTGGTGGTGGACTATCGTCATTGAGCTCAACTCAAACCCACCTTTCCATGAACCGTCCAACTCGGCTTCGAGCCCTTCCAATAGGAACTGCCCCTCTACCCTCGCGGAGAGAGCTAACCTTCCTGTGTGAACTCGAATCAGCCGCCTCATTCTGCGAACGGCCATCGACTCATCGGCTCCACTCTGCCTTCTTTGCCGACCAACGCTCAATAGAACATCTCTATCCACTCTTCTCACCCTCAAAACCTCAAGGCTTCGCTGATATCCTCATACCATCCTATTATCATTATTCCCCAAGGGCCGAATTTGTTTACGAGTCTGATTATAAATCCGGTCGGAACCCGACTCCAGCCGATATTCCATGGAATCAAAAGGCTAACAAGATGTATTGGCATGGGAAACTTACCAGGGGTGCTGACACACCACCCGGCCACACGAGTAGCTTCCAGAAACAGCGGCTGGTCAAGTTGGTCTCAAACGATACCGAATCTGCTGCCTCCCTAACCTCGATGGCCCATAAGCAGGGTGAGACCGATCCATCGTGGCGCTCAGAAACAAGTCGAGTCCTGGTTTCCCTCAACGTCACCTCCGAAAACTTACTCTCCGTCTCTGCACCGGCAACGGTCGTCGACCCACTCATGCTGGATATCGCCATGGCATGTGATCCCAAAGCTGGGGAATGCCACGAACTCCTCAAGCAGGGATATCACATCCAACCACCCGCACCATTGAGCGAATGCTGGAAGGCCAAAATGACCTTAGATCTCGATGATGCTGGCTTCTCCTCTCGGTTCAGTGCCCTGATGGAAAGTCACAGCGCGGTGGTCAAAATGAGTGTCCATCAGGAGTTCTGGCGAGATTGGGTACAACCCTGGTACGTATCACACCTCTTGCAGCCTTTTAATCGCTAAGCGCAAAACCGATCTGGATTGTTGCTTTGTTTTTATCTATCTCTCCCTCAGGTATCATTCCATTCCGCTCTCGTCGTCTTACGCGGAATTGCATAACTTGGTCAATTTTTTCATGGGCTGCTTCCGATCAAAAAAGAGTCTAGACAAGAAGCTTGGAAAGTGCTCAGTGATTCTTGGAAAGCGCTCAGTGATTCCTGATGGGAACCAGCAGCAGCAATTCTTTCCTATTCCATTTGCCAAAAAACAGCATGCTATAGGCTCCAATGGTGACAAGAAAATTCAAACAGTGATAAGCTATTCTTTAATTCAACCCAGCCAAGGCTTGAATCAATTCAAATTTTCACTGATTAATTATTTTGAGATCAAAAGAATGTTGATTCTATTAGCAATGAGGATATATCCTTATGCCTACTTGGGCCAAGTGAAAGAAAGAAGTGCATGTGTAAGTAAAACCAATCTTATTAAAACATGACTTCAAAAGTGTCAAGTTGCAGATCTTGAGACCTGTAATTTATTCATTGATCATTGATTCCAAATCTTTTGAACAACATTACAAGTTGGGTATACAGAAAGGAATCTGTGTTTCAATGAATGCTGGAGAGGAGATCAACCACAAAACAACTTATCAATGAATATTTCTAAGTAGGAAGACAATTGAAATGTATTGTGTGTCTCTAATTCCAGATGATTAGTCCCAATGCACCAGTCAATTTCAAAATACCTTGTTATATTCTATGTTTGTATAAAGATCACTATGAATTAGTATTCCATGTTATATTCTATGTTTGTATAAAAATCACTATGAATTAGTATTCCATGCTCAAGCTGATTTGATTCAATAAGGATTACATTTATTTGACACTAAACCTGATGCATTTTCCACCTGAAGCCAACCCTAACCTTAACCACAAATCCACTAACTTAGGGTTGATTATACTTCCTATATAAAAATGACCCATCAAACAACTTAGCATCCCCTAACCCAAATTCTCTTCCTAACAAGACAGAAAAAGGTTTAATTATAGAAACACTCATTCATGGCAATATTAACTCCTGAATCAGTAAGTAAATTGCCTTCACTGTATGCCCAACTCACACAATCTAACCAGAGAAGATTTTCATTGAATTGGTAGATAGAATCTTCTGAAAGCAGTGATGAAGAGAGATTTATTTCTGATTTGCTCAATCCACCCAGGGTATTCAACAAACTCATCAAACAGGAGGTGTTCCAATCCACTTCAAAGGCAGGAGAACATTTCTCTAAAAGAAACTTTCCTCCATCCAAGGTCCTCTATCAATCTACTTCTAAGATTGACTTGATCAACTCAGGCAATTGTTATGACATGATATCCAAGGTCAGTTCATTCCATTACTGTTTCATCTGCCATATTCTGACAGAGATTTTACTTGCTATCAATGAGGGCTCATTCAAGGTGCTCCTGCTATTAGAGGAGTTAATAGAACTTTTAAAATCAAAGATCATTGCCAAATTTCAGTTACAGAAATTCACAGATGAAATTCAAATATGTTTAATAGCGGTTGCGTATGTCCAATCTGAAGCGACGGTTGGGTACTTCCCGGAGCTGGTAGTTGTGTCCAGCATTTCTTGAGATATGGTTTATGCTGAGAACCTAATGAGCAGCCCAACTTCACAGTCTGATTAATGCAGGGCTAGTTTGTCTAGGCCCAATAGGACTCCACCAAATACTAATTTATAAACAAAAAACACACCTTAATTGTTATTGCCCTGGTATATTCCCCAGGGTGAATAAATCCCATCATTTCCACCTCATCTCCAGGCATGAATCTTTCAAGGTTTGGTTCATTTGTTAGATGATTCACACTCAGGCAAATTGGTGAAGGCTGATAAGCAACAGTAGTTTACACATAGTCAATATTTCTTGATCCTGCAAAACTTAGAGAACTAGAAAATCCACACACATTGTTCTGACCAAGATCTACAGCCATAAGAAATCCACCCTGAAATTGGTTATTTCCAAAAGAATAATTACTCGTGATCACCATTGTCCCCCTGACACGCAATTTTTCCTCTTGATCCCAAGTGACTGCTGGGCGCAGATGTCCTGAATGTGGAAGCCAATTATGGTTTTGAGATATTATCACTGGGAAGGGGTTGTTCTGGGTGAGGAGGAGTGTCCCTGCAAAGAGGATTTCTGTAGTGATGTTTGTAAAAGCTGTCTCTCTTGGTGAATTCCAAAGAGTTATATGATAATGTCTCATCTCTTGAGGATGGATCTGAGCCTGAGCCTGGGGAGAAAAGATCAATGTATTGAAGTTAATTATATCAGTATTAGAACTGTGGAAGAGGGTCCTGTCTATAAAGCAATTTCCAAGAATTGATAGCATTGTACCCAATCTAGAATAATTTTTTAATAATGGGGAATCAATGGTGTTCAAGCAACAACCCATCTCCTTCCTTTTATAGCTATTTCTACAGAATTACTAACCCTAACCCTTTAATATGAATATTCATGCATTACTCACAATTATACAAATTTATGCATGGATCATGCTACAACTAATCACATGTTATCACCAGTTCTATGCATATTATCACCTGAGGCATGCATCTCCCCATTAACACCAATGTTATTGGAAACAACAATTCATGCCTAGTGTCATGCACAGCGACCTCTGTTACCTAATTTTGGTGGTGGGGTAACAAGGTTACTACCCTAACATTCCATCATCCAAAATTCACTTATAAAAATTTCCAAGGTAATGTTTGCATCCTGATACACAGTTAGATTTATCCCCCACACCTTGCCTAATGTTTTCATCAGGTGTATGGGCGCCCAATGATGTGTACCTGTCTACCTAAACCTTAATGTGAGTTATCATGGTTGGTTGGTTTCTTCCATGACTGTTCTATGAGAAAAATTCTAGATAGGGTTGACTTTTCTTCTGGACTTCACATAATCTTGAAATGATTGGATTCCATAAAGAAGCAGCACTAAATAGTTTCAAGATTACCTATCCAATTCTGCTTTCCAGTAAGCAAAAACTCACTTTCAAAAGCTGCTGACAATTTTTTTATCATGGGATCTTGTTTCAGTCTCCAATCAATCCACCAGGCAATCCAATTTAATCAAAGATTCTGGAGATCTTTGAAAATAATGTGAGTATCCATGTTTGATTAATTCACCATTCCATCAAAGAGTCCTGACATGTGTGAATTTTTATTTCAGCCTTCACAAGTTCACATGAACTTGAAATGGTTAGGACCAAAAAGTCCAAGTCAAAGGCAAGTCATAATAAACTGGAATGAACAGATAATCACTAAAGTAAATCTAGTTGTTTCTATCTTTCAAGAATATATAAAGAAGCAGCACCAAGCAGTATAAGGATTCACCATCTAATTATACTTTCCAGTAGAAAACACTCATTCTTAAGAGCTGCTAATCATATTTTTGAAACAACCAGGTAGAAAAAGATGCAGTTGCAATGCAGAATGTGCCAGTGTGAGGCTTTGATCAATGAATATTTCTATGTAGGAAGACAATTGAAATGTATTGTGTGTCTCTAATTCCAGATGATTAGTCCCAATGCACCAGTCAATTTCAAAATACCTTGTTATATTCTATGTTTGTATAAAGATCACTATGAATTAGTATTCCATGCTTGAGCCGATTTGATTCAATAAGGATTACATTTATTTGACACTATAAACCTGATGCATTTTCCACCTGAAGCCAACCCTAACCTTAACCACAAATCCACTAACTTAGGGTTGATTATACTTCCTATATAAAAATGACCCATCAAACAACTTAGCATCCCCTAACCCAAATTCTCTTCCTAAAAAGACAGAAAAAGGTTTAATTATAGAAACACTCATTCATGGCAATATTAACTCCTGAATCAGTAAGTAAATTGCCTTCACTGTATGCCCAACTCACACAATCTAACCAGAGAAGATTTTCATTGAATTGGTAGATAGAATCTTCTGAAAGCAGTGATGAAGAGAGATTCATTTCTGATTTGCTCAATCCACCCAGGGTATTCAACAAACTCATCAAACAGAAGGTGTTCCAATCCACTTCAAAGGCAGGAGAACATTTCTCTAAAAGAAACTTTCCTACATCCAAGGTCCTCTATCAATCCACTTCTAAGATTGACTTGATCAACTCAGGCAAATTTTATGACATGACATCCAAGGTCAGTTCATTTCATTATTGTTTCACCAGCCATATTCTGACAGAGATTTCACTTGTTATCTCAGAATTCACATGATCTTGAAATTGTTCAGACCAACAAGTCCAAGTCAGAGGCAAGACATGCTGGTAAGCTTTCACAAGACATAATCAACAAATAATCCATAAAGCTAATCTATCTGCTTTGATGTTTTCAGAATATACAAAGAAGCTGGACCAGGCAGTGTTAATAGTAAACATTTTATTACACTTCCAGTATAGACAAAATCAATATTTTGCAGCTGCTAAAGTTTTATTCATCATGGGATCTTGTTTCAGGGTGCAAGAATGCCACTAGCCAGCAAAATTCAATCAAATATGTGGGAGAGTATTAAAAATAACGTGAGTTACAAAAAAACCAACCCCAGGGATTCTCAACAGGATTTATTGAAACAACTATTCTAGTTATTGATATACTAATATTGCTATTGAACAACAAGTCCAAGTCAGAGGCAAGATTTTCTAGTAAGTCTTCATAGAATGCAATTAACAAGTAAAAAAAGAAGTTCATCTATTTTGTTTTCCATTGTTTTCAGAATATTTAAAGAAGATGGACCAGGCAGTTTTAAAAGTGATTATTTTATCATGCTTACAGCCAAAACAAAACTGATATTTTTCAGCAGCTAAAATTTTCTTTATCATGGGATCTTGTTTCAGGGTGCAAGAGAGCCACTAGCAAACACAAATCAATCAGATATGCAGGAGAGCATTAAAATTACTGTAAGGCACAAAAGGGATTTTCCACAGGATTTATTGAAACATCTACTCTAGTTACTGATGTACTAATATTGATCTAATCATGTGATTTCTTCCAGGTTTCAAAAAAAGAAATTATTGAATTGAACCCTGTGGTCTTCTTAGAAGAGGTCAGATCTGGTGTTCATTCCATCACAGTTTCACCAACCATATTCTGAAAGATAGTGTGAATTGTTATTTTAGCCTCCACATAATCTCAAAATGGCTGGGACCAAAAAGTCAAGGTCAGAGGCAGGAAATTTTGGTAAGTTTCAATAAAATGTAACTAACAAATAATAAATTACATTAATCTAGAAGTTTGCACTTTTTCAGAAAAAAACAAGAAGAAGCACCAAGCAATATTAAAAGTAACCAACTCATTAATCTTTTGTTCATTTTTTCACAAATGCTAACAAAATTTTGACAATGGCAACTTGTTTTAGGTTCCAAGAGATCCACTGGCCAACCTAATTCAATCAGAGATGCTGGAGACCATTGAAAATACTGTGAGTCACAACAAGATATTAAATGCTAATAGGAATTATTGGGAAAAAAAAATGGGATTACTAATATTGATATAATAATGTGATTATTTCCAGGTTTCCAAAAAAGAAGTAATTGACTTGACCAGGGTGGTCCACATCAAAGAGGTCAGATATCGTCTTTCATTTTATTTGGTTACAAAAGAAACATTCTAATTACTGATTGGTAAGACTAACACAGGATCACATAGAGATTGTATCAGGGGGAGATCTACCAAGTCCTGCCTCAACCTGGACCCTAATCAAACAAAAAATGGCCAACTACGTTCAACAGGATAACCTCTATTACATACCAACTCAAGGATTGAAGGTGGCCAGGAAGCACATGTCAGAATATCCAGTCCGTCATACCACCAATTTGATAGATGGGGATGGGAACTGTTTGTATAGAGCATTTTCTCAATGGAAAAATGGGAACCAAGAAGCTCATCCATATATTAGAAAGGATCTTTTTGAATATGCTGGATCCCAGAGGGAGTCAATTAGAAGATATATAGGACGAGACTGCAAGGAGGCAGACATAGACAGGTGGATTAATACCCTTGGCAGACCTCAAAGTTGGGGAGACTCAATGTCTCTTGAACTTTTGGCCAATCTTCATAATACCATCATATTTGTAGCATCCCTTAATCCTCTTGATGGCCGTGGTTGGCATAGAGAATATCTCCCTCAAAGGAAACCCCAACCAAACTGCCTCACACCTGTTTACTTCATCTTTCACCCACCGGACCATTTTGAAATCCTTGATCCCTTCCCTTAGCTTTTTTTTGTCCCCAGTAACTTCAATATTTTGCCTCATGATTTTCTACTCAGTTCTGTCCTTTGCACCCATACTTTCCATGTTTTTTTCCTACATTATCATTCAATCTCTACTTTGAACACAATTCCTAAATTTTCTCTTATGCAACCACACACAAAGCTGGCAGTATGTTGTCTCGCTGGATTTTTGTCCTTTTCATTGAGGAATTCATTTTTATCCATGTAAAATACTCACAGGATATTGTACAACAAGATGAATCATTTGAACCAACTGATGAAATATGTGAGTCCTATTTACACAAATTTCAGCCCTAACCAATATGTCATGCATGAATTGGAACTTCAACCCATATTTCAACCACATTTTGGCCACCTATATTCATGACGAGAAAAAATTAGACCAGCCCTAACCTAAGAAGATCAACACCCACATTTCAGCCACTTTGTTTTTCATTATATAACAGCCAACTTTTTCACATTCAGAATCAGTCACTCACCCATCCAACAGATACAACATTCAAAGAACCAGCTTCCTTGGAGTTGAAATCTCTATGTAAGCTCCTCATCTCAATCTGGCAGGGTTCCTCAATTACAAAAGAAAATTGAAACTGAACTTTTACTTCCAATTACAAGAGCTATTTGGTCCAAAATAATAATCTCTCACTCATTCAATATAATCAATATTCAATCTTCACAGAGGAATTGAAAACTTTGTGTGAGCTCCACTCACTCCTCTTTAAGCACATTCATTGCAACTGACATTCCTCTCCCAAACCCTTGCTCTTTTTGTTAGAAACCATGGCCACTCCAGTATTCCAAAGAACAGCCCTTGATCCAGAGGAGGCTTACTTTATAATGACCAAGATTGAAGAGTTGGGCTTTATCCCCAACAAATATGTACAAGGCTTTAGAACCTTGGATACTGACAAGAAGTTTCAAGATTTGGAGCCCAACATATCAACCACTCTACCAATCTGGATGGTGATTGAATTGCACAAGAAGAAACTGGGTGAGGTATTGCTACCCAAATGGTTCTCCTTGGAGGAACTGAAGAAGGCTAGACAAATGGAAAGAAATTCTTTGCTGCTTTCACCATTACCATTCTACTGGTTTGAAATGTCCAAACTTTTTCTTGAACTGTTGAGCTCATTTCTTAATTTCTTTGCACCTTAAGAATTCATTCCTAATTTTGCATCTATTTTTCCCAATCTGTAGAGCTCCTCCTCAAGATGCCAAGTCCCTGGAAGAGATCAAGCTGATAAGGCAGGATCTTAAGGATATCAGATACACCAAATTGCAATCCACCTTACAAACTGTCCTCAACAATTCACATGAGGCCCTTTTAAAAAATCCAGAAACAAACATATCAGTTTTCTTCAACCATCTTGACATCCCCAACATGGGATGCTTTGAAATAAGTCAATTTCGCCATATCCTATCTTTTCTTAGCTCCAAATATAAGAGATTTGATTCAAGTAACCCTACTGAGTAGCCTTCAATTAGATGAATAATTTTACTAGGCCCACTAAATAGATAAATTTCCAATTACATAATGAGACAAACAAATGAAAATTCTTCTTAATTTTTCTTCCAAATATCCACAAATTAGCATCCTCCTTTTCTCCTTTGTGCTCAATGCAATGATTTCATTCCCTTTTAACAATGATACTGTTGACAACACACAAGCCTCCATTATATAATATAATGTTTTTATTAGGTGAGAAAGGTACCCCAATACCACATAGATGGGGGAGTATGCTAGAATTGGAAATTATTCATGATAGATGAGTGATATCATGGAGACACTGATTGAATGGCATCCAGACAAAGAAACTGGGTGGCAAGAGTTTGAGAGGTGAACCACTGGAGTACACAAGAGTGAGGTCAGGTGTCAGTGTGTGAGTAAAGTTGGAGTGGAGTGTTGTGGGAAAGCAGGTGGAGTACTGTGGGGAAGGGAATGGAGAAGCAGAGTTTGGTAAAGGAGGGAGGAGGGAAGGGGGAGAGTAGGATCATTCAGATACTACATCATTCTTATTAGATCAGGGCAGATAACATCAAGAGTATCATTAGAAGAGTGTGGTAGTGACAGGAGTCTACCTAAAAAAACCATCAGGTTAGTTATAAAAACAACAAGACAGAAGCAGGGGAGTGGCTACAGCAGAGAAGACTACTCATTATCTTTGGACGCAACTCTCTTACCACAACAGCAGATTGAACCATATATATATGATTGAAAATGTATTTTTAAATATTATGGATTACAGTACAAGATAGGGGTTAGGCAGAACAGGTGTAACATTAGGCTTAAGCTGTCCCTCAAGGTGATATTTGATTTTTGAGGACCTCATTAAATACTATTTTGAAGTCTGCCAAACCTTGTATTGAACCCAATGTTTGAATCAGGAAAAATAATATTGGTCTATCTGTCTAGTGTGAGTGGATGAAGGCCTGCAGGGAAAGATAACTTGCATTGGTTGGTTGCAAGTTCATTTGATATGAACCATGAATTTTTAAATTGTCTCTGTTTAAATTCTTATTGTGGGTGTTCATCTGTATGTAGATTCCTTGATAATCTGTCAAAACCTCAGCTTTGGTAATTGAAGACTTCTGGATTAAAGGGTTAGGCTGAGACCAAACAGTAAGTAAGATGTGATGCCACAGGGTTAGTTTTAGAGATCAATGGGATAAATTTGGGAAATTGTGCTGAGATTTGTACTTGAACCATCCAAGGTACTATCCATTTTGGCAAAACCATATTCATATTGAAGTGGTTTCTTCTACAGGGCTCAGTCAAAGTGTAGATGGAGATGAATATATATTTAGCTCAAGTATACAGCTATGTTCCAACCCTAATCCTAACTCAACCACAAGTTAGACAGTTGAATTTTTGACAGCCAGACTTGATTTACATATGAAGCCCTGCAATATTTAATCTTTTATCTTGATTAATACATCTGAATTGAGGCTGACCACCCAATTTGAAATATTTTAAATTCCCTAACCAAGGTAAGCCTGCATTCATCCCTTGGAACCAAATTTACCCCATGTGACAGCAATTGCTGAATCATCTAATGCCTCATGTTAATTACTCATTCAAAGACATCCAAAGATGACATACTCAAATTATCAGAGTGTCTTGAAGAGACTGGATATATCTAGGAAGCTAGCCCTGAACCAATCACTTGGATTTATCCCAAACAAAAATATATTCCATGCAGTGGAAAATGTCCCAGAATCACTGATTGAGGGGTTGATACCAGGAAAAAAATCCAATCTTCCAATTCAGGTCATCATAAAGCTTCGAGATAAAAACCTTGGAGAGATAATCCCACCAGCCTGGTTTTCCTTGCCATGCCTCAAAAATTTACTGGAGGAGGAAACACAGGCATTGTGCTTATTAGAGCTACCATTGCCCTTCTATTGGCATGAGTTGTCCATACTACTGATCAAGATGTTTGTCCTATCCTCTCCATGCTTTGCACTTCAACCAAGTATTGAGCTGACATTGACTTGCATACCCAGGAGACCCAATAATATTGAGTCACTGCAGCAGGTCACCAAAATGGTTTCCAATCTCCACTATGCCAGAACAAAGAAGATAAACTCCATCATTCAAGACATACTGCATATCAAATACCAAGAATATGGGACTGAAGAAAGGGATCTAAACTTTGACAAGATATTTGAAGACACAATAACTTACAACATGACTAGTTCAGATGAGGCTTCGTACTATGCAGCCTTATATGTGATACACCCAAAAACTATGAAAGCTATGGGATGTGAAACTAAATATTAGCTATAAAAAAAGTTGCATGAATTTCTGGGCAACAAAAATAATATAGCATTTGAAAGGTTTTGATTTTAGGAGTTAGAGAAATATATATAAACATTAAGCTAGCCAGCCCTTGAGAAAAAGATCAAGAGACAGGAGAGGGGAAGAAAAGGATATAAAACAATGCCCCAAGAGTAAGACATTGCTTACATGAGCAAACCATAAGTCAAGCATTTGCTTATGTGATCAAACCACAATTTGACCCACAAGTTCCCAGGGGTCAATTTTTTATATAAGAGAGGGATGTTTCCTCCTCTTCCCCCCATCTCTTGCTTGAATCTCATCAACCAGTCATCTCTACCTTTTCTGAATCAAGAAGAGTAAATAAAGTAAGTAAACAATTCCAGGTTGAAGATTCTATTCCACTTATTCAGCCTTGACATCTTCAAGTGGACCTTAACCCATATATTTATGTTGTGAAGCAGTAATCCTACTACTAATACCACTATCAAAGTAACATGAACCCAGACCACATGTTTTGTCATACAGTTGAGTTTCTTTGTTTCTCTCTCTCATTGAGAGTTTTCTTGGATATTTTGTTTATAGGATTTTGGATTTTATACCAGCTCACCTGCAAAAGATGCATAAGAGATGGAGATGCTTGGAAATGTAAAGTGGAGGATGGAAATAGAAAGTGTACTCGGTGTGAAGATAAAGGTTATAGGTGTGAGATGCCTGGTTGTAAGTGAATGGTATATTTCTGCTCTTGTAGAGGGTTACTAATCATTTTTTATATTTTATAAGGGTATATTTATGTTTGGAAATTGCGAGCACAGTTGGCCGACCAACAACATGTCATTGATTCATTGTTCTCATCCCTAGGAGAAGATTACAGAGAAATGATGGTTCTTAAAGAAAGAATTGAGGAGCTAGAGACTAAATTTAAGTAAAAATCTGATGTGGCTTTCACTAAAAGCTCAACTTCTAATTCTTAAAATTAGATTTGTTAGTAGCTAGTTACCACCCTCTCTAGCACCCTCACCCCTTGCAACAAGCCCTTACACCAGGGGCACCTGGAATAAGCCCTCATTCCTCAGACCCCTCAGACCTCATCCTAGTGCCTAGTGTTTTCATCAGGCATATGGGCCCCCAATGATGTCTACCTGTCTACCAGGTAAAGGGGAGAGGTAGACAAGGTAGGTCATTGGTCATTGGGCCTAAACCTAGACTGAACACCTTCAGCACTGAGGGCACTGGAACTACAAGCATGGGCAACTGTTATTTTTTTCTATTTTAGTTTGTAAGACATATCAAAAGGAAAACAAACTCCACTGATCCTGTGGTTCAGTTTCTCAAAAAATAAAAATATATACCCATAGCCACACCAAAAACCCTCAGATTTCAGGAAATGATCCAGGTCATGTTTGTGGCAGGGTCAGAATGAAGGATCATGCACTGTGCACACAGGTTCAGACCATCCACTGAGCATACAGGGCCATTTTTTTAAAATTTGGAGAAGATAAAAAAATGGCTGGTCCTGCTGGTCCTGCATTCGTCTCTACAGTAAAAATACATTTTAAACATTATAATTGAAATTGGATAGTCCCAATCTGTTTTTTCTCCTTCATTTTATTTTCTGAAATTCTCAATAAGGTAGATTGATAGATGTGAGTGATACATAGATATTTTGGTGGTTGGTCAAAGTCTGATGTAATGGATTTCACTGCTTTGGTAGAGCCCAAAAGTATGTAGTGCATGGATGTAGGGTTATGTGGGATGGAAAACATCTGTTTCCCAGTTCAAATATTATTTTGAAGGTATGGAGTTATACAAAAATCCCTGGTAAACTGTAATTAAAATGAATCCAGGGTGGAGTTCAATCCAGTTATGTACCTACAGTTAAGGAGAACCTACTCATGTAAGCTTCATGGATTTTCAAAGGAAAGGAAAATAACCTATTGAGTTGTTGTTTCCATTCCTTCCTCTGTACTTCTGCATGCTACACATGTTCCATATATATGTCATAGCTTTTGTAGTATACCTGGAGTAGAAGTGAGTTTGTGTGAAATATCTTATGTCACAGATTCCACAACAACAACAAACTGAGATTACATAATCCATTCTCATTGTATTTAGTCTTGAACTTCCTTTCACCCTTCTATCTCAGTGGAGACCTGACTTATCATTTCTACTGCACTAGCTATGTTAATCTTTTTCCTTTTTTCATTCTATCA